CAGATAAAGAGAAAGACACCTAGAGAAAGACACCCAGAGAAAGACACCAAGAGAAACACACAAAGATGAAGACACCCAAATAAAGACACCAAGAAGACATCCAGAGAAAGACACCCAGAGGAAGACAACAAGAGAAAGAGAAAGACACCCAGATAAAGAGAAAGACACCTAGAGAAAGACACCCAGAGAAAGACACAATAAGAAAGACACAAAAAGAAAGACACCCAGAGAAAGACACCCAGAGGAAGACACCTAGAAGAGGACACCAGGTCATCAACTCCAGGTCAGATTTTGTCACTAAACAGTTTCAGAGTTTGTCCAAAGTGAGTTGTGGGGGTACAGGCGGTTTTTGGGGGCTCTTCCCGGCTAAACTCCCCCGATACCGGGGTCTGAAACGGCTCATACCGGGTCCGTAAACTCACCTTCACCGCGAACAACAGCCTGTCCAGCGCAATACTCGCTCTGTGCACCGCCATGTTGACCAGCTTCTTCTTCTTCGCTTTTTTTTATGGCGGTTGGCAAACAACTTTTAGGTGCATTACCGCCACCTTCCAGATTGGAGAATGGACTCGACAATCTATTAAATTCTTCCTAACACACCGGTTTTTCTTAAAAAACTGAAAACACTCCCCAAAACCACATCCCCAGACGACCTCTGAAAAAAATCCCCCATATCCAATTTTATTTTATTCCTGCCTAACTCCCTACATAACCTCTCTCAACACCCCGTACTATGTTTATTAATTATTTTAAGATTACTATTTAACCCTGTGTGTCCAAATCTTATCCTAGATATAATGTCTTCTTCTTTTTTAATTCTATTACATTTTCTTACTTCTCCAACCTTTTTCTGAATAATATAATAAAACCTAGCATTCCTTCCTTTATCCCACTCTTCTTCTTCTTCTTCTTCTTCTTCTGTGGCCGGGAGCAGCTTTCAGCAGCGCCCCCTCTGGCCGGAACTGGACCTGCAGGAACCCCCTGAACGGACCAGGTCTTATTTCTGGTCCCAGTAAACCCCTCCATCATCGGAAAGCTCCTTTACCTCCCTCAGTGTTTCCCCTCCAGGTTTAAAAGCCACGCGGATCAAACCAGCCTGCATTGTAACATGTGTGTCAATCATTCTGTCAAATATCTGAGTATGTATGTAGATATACATACTTTATCCCAAAAAAATACAGATTGTATATGTATGCATGTATGCATGTGTGTATGTATGTATGTATGTATGTATGTATGTATGTATGTATGTATGTATGTATGTATGTATGTATGTATGTATGTATGTATGTATGTATGT